TGAAAATGGGAATCTCAAAATGGTAGAGCAGGAAAATTCCCCAGCTCTGAGCACGCTGACCCTGCACTGTGATAACTTTCTGCATCGCTTACCCGTGTAACAGAGACTCCTTTGAGTTCAGTGCTGCCCCTCTAAGAATCAAATTACATTTTAAACCTGCAGTGCTACTATTTTTCTTATCTTTGACCTACTGTAGGAAGCAACTTTAAATCTGCCCTGAGTGGACCTGTTTTCAGCACACTTTTTAACTTTTGCACTGGTGGTGAGCTCTGAAGTCCAGCAGCAACTCACTTGTAAATACTTAGTAAATCACTATCTGAAATGCCAGTGAGATGGAGCCTGTGTTTCTCTGCAAAGTCTTATCTAAAAAAGGGCTCCTTATAAATGCTTTATTAAATACTGCAGGAGTGACAGACATAATAACTGAGCCACGACCAGATGCCGTGAGTCTGGCCGTGGTAGCAATTATATTTGGCAAGATAGGTTGCTGAAATGCTTCTGGTCATTGAATTTCTTCTTTCAAACCCCTTCCTTTCCTCTGCAATAATGAGTTTTGCAAACATATATAAAAGATGGCATCGAGACAGCTTGTAACATATTGACTGGGTTAACTAGGTCTGCCTAGAAGGGTTTTCAGTAGGAAAGTGATACTGAAAGCAGTCCTGAATCCTGACTGCTTGCTCCTAATTGATTTACATAAATGTTTATGTGACTCCGATTTCATAAACATTACATGCAACCTTAAGGGATTTGTAGGACAGATTTTTACAGTTTTCCATTTGGTCTCCATTTATCAGCAGAGATCAAACTGAGAAGGGCCAGAGGAGAGGCAGAGGAGGACCAGATCTAGTGTCAGAGGTACTATACATGAGATTAAGTTAATAATTTCTAATGGGCTGTTATTAAATGTTTCTGGGCTCCCCAGTACAACAGAGACATGGAGTGGAGTGAGTCCAGCAAAGAGCAAGAAAGATGATTAAGAGACTGGAGATCTGACATCTGAAGAGAAGCTTAAATCCAGGACTGTTCAGCCTGGAGAAGAGGAGCCTCCTGGGGAGCCTTATGAATATGTACAAATATCTGCTGGGAACTGGATGAGAAAATGGCTCAGTGATACCCAGTGGCAGGACAAGAGCAATGGGTACAGAAATAAACACAAAAAATACCATTTAAGCAAATTAAAAGCTTTTTCTCTGGTGAGAGGGGTCAGGCTCTGGACTGTGTTGCCTGGGGAGGTTGTGCTGATATCCAAAACCTGGCTGGCCGTGGCCAGAGAAACCTGCTCTGGCTGGCCCTGTCTTGAGCTGGGGGCTGGATGTCAAGGGATCCCTCCCACCTTCAGCACCTTTGGGTTCTGCTGTATGGATGGGGCTGAGTAGCATCATTACCTTGACTTACACCATTTGAAAGGTTGGATCTGTAGCAAGACACTGAAGGAAAAAGTGATTTTTATTACATTCTTGGTCCTGTAGATTCATTTGGTGGCACGCAAAATATGTAATAATTTATCATTTATTACTCTCAAATACAGTGGCAGCACTGCAGATAAATATATTTTTTCTGAATATGCTGTGGGTATCTGTATGTTAATGACAATATCCTGCACCTGGGTATAATTGTCATTATTAATACTGATGTAAATGAAATGTTAATTCTTGCTAATACATCAAACGATGAAATGCTTTAAGAGCAGAATTGCCATAATAAAAGCAATTGGGCTGTTTCTTTGTAATTTGAGGGCCCACAAAAGTGCAGAAACATGTCTTATGGCTTTACAAATCTGTGATAATTTCCTTCAACTTTTCCTTTTATTGCCTTGTCATTAAATTCTCATTGAGTTCTTAAAATAAAAATGCTTAAAACAGATGTGGCTGTTAAAGTTACAATATGAATTTTACAACCTTAAATTTTATGACACTGAAAGAAATTTCAGCCACCAGTGACAAGAATGGAAGCAGGAGGCAGCTCTAAGGGTGACAAATTTCCATAATTGCCAAAAACTTAAGTTAATATAATGCACACATTATATTCTAATCATGTAAGTCAGTATTCAGAATGAAAATTATCCAAAACCATATGAATTATCAGAACTGAATAGCAAAGAAACAAGAAAATAAAAATTAAAAAAAAAAAAAAGGTGAGGAGGAAAAAAGAAAATAAGGGGAAAAAATTAAAGAAGAAATTCTTAGTTCCATTTCTGTCCTTTATCAGTTTCCTCCATGGATCTAATTTATTTGATCTAAATAGTTCACAGTGATGCACACAGAATTCTTCAAGAAATCCTAGGGCAAAGATTCACTTTTTTAAAATTAGGAATTTTCATGATATTTTGGAAAGGAAATTCAACTTCCATTTAATCTATCTATAAAAACCCTGATATCTGATTTCACCAAAATTCTCACTATGGGTGGACAGACAGACAGAAATGTAGACATGGTCTCTTTATGTCTTAAAATAATACCCAACAAGTGCAGGAATGACCTCTCGCAGTATATTATCCCACACAATGTGTTTTCTAACTTTCATGTGAATTGTTCCATGCTAATTCCTCATTTCCTGGATTTAAGTCTGGATGCCACAACCCTTCACCAGTGTGTGCATGTTTTCTTTGCTCCCTTTCAGCAAGAAACATCTTCCCATGTTGAATATTCCTTCATGTTGAATATTCTCAGTCAGTTCAGCAGGATTATGTCATGACTAACCCAAGTGAGAAAGGTAAAATCTGATTTCAGCCATTTTATTTTATCTTTTTGTCAATTTTTTTGGCCTTCCCAGTTCTATGGATGTCTAAGGCTTTTTTCCTAGAAACTGCATTTTTATTCTTTTCCAAGGCAATTCATATTAATGGTCATCTGCTAAATCTTTCAAATTAAAGTCACATATTTCAGATATGGACTGGCTAACTCTCCTTACAATGAAACACCCATAATTTGGTTTAAAACCTGTCTTCCTTTTGCTGTTTATTAAGTTCTACGCACCTCAGTTTTGTAATCAATTAAATAGTTTAGTGATGATTTTAATCTTATGCTCAGGGAAAGTGAAAATTCAACACCAAATAATCTTTAGTGAGACTGTATCATCTCCCTGTGTTCTGCGAGAACTACTGTGAAGCTTTCCTGTTGGGTTTCAGTGAGATGTGTATTTAAATAAAGGCTGGTATCATCTAATTAACCCATGTAATCAAGTTGCTACAAAGACTGGTTTATTTATATAACCCCCAAGTTTATTGGCTCAGTTTTGTTTGTTAACTCCTGTCAGCAGCAGTGTCCCTGCACCACGCTGCTCAGTATTTCCTCTCTCCAACTCTCCTGCAACGAGCCCTGCAGATCTTTCCTGTTCCCTGACTCCTGTTCTTGCTTATGTTTCACTCAGGACTGGGCAGAAGCTTTCCAGCTTTATTGTGGTCCTTGATTTACTGCTTTTCCTCCCATGCACTTCACAGTGACTTCCCCACGCTCATTATTCCCACAGTATCAAGCACGTTCTAGAAAAGGCAGCTTTGTCAGTCAGCCACATGATGACGTACACTTTTGGCTTCAGCAGAGAAAAAACCTTCACCTCTTCTCTTGCAGTCGGTCCCAGCTCCAGCCCCTCTTCCCCAGCAGCCACATTACCTCACGGTTTCGGCAGCCCTCCCTCTGATCTCCCCTTCTCCCGTGACTGATCTCAATGCTGGCCAGGTAACTTTCCATATTAGCAGCTAATCTCTCTGCTCCCATATGGCTGGGGTCAGTCATCATTTCCATGACTTATTTGTTTCAATATCCGTACAAAGTGAGGAAGTCCTTGGCATCAAGTAGCTTTAAATGATGTCAGGGGTCAAATGTGTCTTGGTTCCTGCAACGTGAATGTTCCCTGTGGCTGTGCTCACCTCTGAGCACTGCCCTGCAGTGAGCAAGGGGTAACACAGGTACCCTCCCATCTCATTTAATTTACTGCAGACATTATTGTATTATATCTGTAGTAGTTCAGTTATTAATAATACGGTCCCTTTTCTATCAACCAAGCATGAGAAACATCTGTTAAGAAGGTAAGTCTAGGGCTTACAGGGAAATCTGATAAAATACTGTCTCACTTCCAGAATCACCACTTCAGTGAGACTCAAATCTGTCTCAAAACCTGCATCATCCATGCAAGGTCACAAAGGCAAAAGAGGAGGAAATAGATATACAGAATGATCTTTAAAAAACTCAGAGATCTGGGTTGCCAGAAAGCAGAAGCTCCATCGCTAAGGGACAATGTAGCTTGGTTTGAGAGTCAAATTTACTCAGGCCTATGAAACTTCACCTGTTTCTAAATTGTTTTCTTACGATTCCTTACCCATTGATGTATAAGATCTGTGAGACCTATATATGCCTTTACAAATAAAGCATATATATCTGCCAGCATCTTGGCTCCTTAGTCCTCTAGACATGTTCAGAGAGGGATTTAATATCTCTGACTAATACAAATGCTTGATTAGTGAACTAATGCTCTCATGGATGTTAGCAAGACACCACACAGAGAAAATGCTGCATGAAACATTTAGAGACTGGCATGAGAAGATGATCTAATAGGCCTCTTAGCATTTGATTTTATTATTTATTGCAGCTAATTCATGTGCAATTTGCATGCTACAGTGTTAACATTATTTGAAAAGTCATAAATTTCTTTGATATTAAGAGACTCATGCACACATATACAGAACTTTTTAACTTCTCTCCAGACATTTACAACTTAGCTACTGCACGTAGCTTCAGAAAAGGCTTTTTTTTTTTTTTTTTTTACTGGAAGTATCACTGTCAGTTCCCATGCACAAATAGTTTGGACATGATATAACAACGACAGTGCTTCAGCCCAGGCAGCCCCCAGATTTCACAGATGTGGTGTGTAACTGGCTGCCACCCAAGTGGTGATCCACTCCTGTCAGAGCAGTGCAAAGAGATTTCACCCAGACAGCCAGGCCAGCTTTTCCCTCAGACTGCAGAGTGCGGGCTGTGTTTGTCAGCACTGACCTGCATGTCTTCAGCAGCAGCAAAAGCAGATGGGGCATCATCCACAAGTAGTACCAGCTGGGGGATCCTCTGAGACAGAACTGTTTCCTTTGGTCCTTAGGGAAAAAGAAATGCACAAAGAAACTATGGGAATAAATTCCACCTGCCGTTTAAGGACATGTTCAAGAGCTAATTAAGGCTCTTCTAGTCACAAGCCAGAAGGAATCAGACAGGAGGAGGAGCTGAGGGTCTGTGTAAGGTTTTCATCACATTAGGAAGCTCCGAGTGCTGCTATTCAGATCCTGACATCCTGACTCTCTTGGTTGATGTCTCCAAAGCTCAGAAACACTGTAAAAATAACAACCTCACACACATTTCACTGAGAAGGTTTTGCCTCCTCCCTTCTTTTAAGCAAGGGCTTGACATTTGCTGGTGTGGGAATGTATGTGGTGCCTGGATGTTTTGCAGTCCCCAGTGTGACTACAGCTCTGCCTGTGTCTAAGTCATGCAGTTCAGAATTGTTGCTCTGCAAACACTCATCAGAGCTTGTGGAAGCTGAGTAGCTGTCTTCTCTGCTTAGCTGTAAAAGAAGGCTAATAACAGGATCGACTACTGCAGCATTGATGCAAAGGTGAAGAAATTGATTTTGAGAATTGATTTTTGATTCAGATATAATGGTGATACCACCATGGAAATGTACATAACTAAATTCACTTTCATATTCCAGCAGCACTGGAATAATGAGCAATACAAAACATCTGGGACCATGTATTAAAAGGGGATAAAAAGTCCTGAATACCCAGTGAGGGATGAAGCAGGACAGGATGATGCAGTTATGATTTAACAGAATCAAGCATATGGAAAAAAAAAAATCACAACATTAATTCTTAACTATTTCAGTTTTTGAGTGCTTGAATGAACAATTTCAATATATTTTGAGTAAAGTAATATAACTAATTTTGTGCATACCTTAATGACTTCAGTGGACATGCATGTAGGTTTGACTAGGCAGTGTAAAATAGCCCTAACACTTTTCTCTCAGTTACACCATAGCTGAGAAAGTAGAGATACATGTGAAAAAGATACAAACAGGCATCCATTTCACTTTCCAGCTCTGGCATTTAGAAGTACTTTGGATCTCAGCTCTGCTTCAAAGTTCCTGTGGAGCAGCTTCCCAGCTTTTTGCAACTTCCCTGATAAGTGCACTCACAGAAAATACCAGTAAGAAAACATGATATTAGTGAAACTAATCTGGTTTCACATTCTGTCAAAGCCTCCAGACCAAGTACCTCCCAGCTGAAAGATTTGTGTACCTGTGACCCATTCTTGTGCTGCCATGAAAACTGAGCAAAGACAGGAACAGATGCTTTAGACACACAAATGAGATGATTACAACAGTTTAAGCTAAGCTTAACCTCTGGATTTGGGCCTCATAGAAAGCAGCTGAGTGATAGCCAGAGCAGACACTCTCTCATACATATAAACTGGGAAACATTTCTGCAGGGTCCTGGGAAATGAAATACAGAGCTGTAACTGGAGTCTTCTCAGCTCTTTCTCAATATGGAGATAACATCCCCAATGCCAAACAGTGCATAAAGACTGTCAAATCAGGCTTTGGGATGTGTCCCCCCAAACAGACCCTTTAGGCTGCTGAAATAGCCCTGACTTTTGTTATGAGCATGCAAAAATGGATTCACAGTTACAGAAATTTTATTCTCACACATTCCTCCTGCCGCACTCCCCCATGAAGATGGTCACTGTCCCCTGCACAAGCCCCTGCACACGAGCAGCTCAGCAGGCAGTGAAGATGGTGAGCAAAGGGATCATTCACTGATGCGTACATGGCAGCACTGGCAAACAGCATTCTTGTAATTCACTCTTGGCTATGGCAGAGAAAGCATCTCCCTGCTGCATGTTCCTGATGGTGCCTTCTCCTGCCATCCCACGTCACATCTGGGGACAAACACACCACATTCCTTCACACATGCAGCAGCCCAGCCTGGGTCAGCTGAAACACTTTGATGGGGAAGATGAATTTTTTAGTTAATTTTCGCTTCCTGTGGGGTGTGCACATGAGAACCCATCAGTGTGACAGTGGAGGCAGAACTAGTTTGGTTCAGTTTGGCTCTGAAAACACCACCATGGACTATTTGCTCCTTCTCACTTTGCTTTCCATATAAAAACATATGTAATATACAAGTAAATACTGTAATAAGATTTGTATCATCAAGACCATAATCTGGTTTGTTGAGTTCCTTCAGCCCTTTACCTTCATCATGCATTACTTTGTTGGTTAAATTAGAATCTCATTAATATTTATAGTAGCCCACTTCCTTAATGAGTTTAAATAGGCAAATTCGGTGAACTTGGATTTGTATCATTCAATCTCAGTTTGCTGATCCTCCATTGGTTTTTGTTCCTTCAGGTTAAAAAAGTAAAATTCAGTAAAAACTTATTTTTGGCACTAGAGACAGTGGATCTGATTGAATACAGAAAAACAGGAGATTGACTGAAATGGTTCCATTATTACATGGTCATTTTGAATGTTGAACTTCACTTCAAGCCAAAGAACATGCTAAAGAAAATAAAGCTTGAATATATTGTTCCCACATTTGCAAACCACTAACATAGGAATATTTTTGAGCATCTTAAATATTCACCATTTTTGGCTATGGCTTTATCTCAGTCACCATCTCCAATGCCAAGTTTATTTTTAAAGAGCAGTCTAGTTCCTGCTCCTTCAGGTTTCTGCAGACAGCTGTTTTGTTTTGCTCTTCCCATGCTATGAAAAATCTGTCATTCAGTATTTAATTCTAGCACCTAACTGCCTCTCTTGAGACAACAGAGGAGCCTCCAACAACTATGAACCCATCAAGATCCCCAACTAGGATAAAAAACCCCAAAGTGAAGGTTAAAGCAAAACAGCAGGTCAGGAAGCTCAAAGACTTGTAGTGTTGATTTCTTTGGCACACAAACCACTGGGTTAGTCCAGTCTGTCCTCTGATTTGAAAGGAATTATCCTGAGGTAAAAATAAAGGAATGCAGTGGTGAATCGGGCTCATTGTCTGGATTTAGCACGAAGCTGAGATGAAGGCGCTGGGCTGCGTGTGCTGCAAGGTGTAAATGAACAACACGCGTGAGCAAGGCTTGATCTGTTCCTTATGGCGTGTGCAAAACTCCTCTCAGGTATTCGTCTGCACAGCTCCTCAGGCCACACAAAACTCATCTGTTTTCTAATAAAAATATTGAGCTGATACATCAAGACCTTAAAAAGCCATTGGAGCCAAATGGTGCAATGAGACTCCACCATTTCTCTGTCAAAATATGGAATAAGCCACTTTTAATTTGTGAGGGTATAAGGCTGCAAGCTCACGTTTGTCAATATAAACTTGGAAGTGATTTGTTGTCCTTCTTTTACTCCTTTCCTGTGATTGCCTAATAACTGCACTTGATTTTTTCACCCCTTTTGAAGGTTTAAGGGCTGCTTCTCCTGCTGCTGCTTCCCTTCTCCAAAGCAATTGCTGTTATCTGCCCTGAATGACCTGCAGAAAGCAAGGCTTTGGCTGGCCAGTCACACAGACAGCAAAGGTTCAGGTGGGGAGAGGCTGGTGGGGAGAAACCAGGCAGGGCAAGAGCCGAATTCATAAAGTTCTTAACATGGTTTTCAACAAATATTGCTCCCCTGTGGTTTATATCCCTCAGGAAAGCTGTTGGCAGGTGACACAGCCTGACTCAGGCTGTTTTAAACTCTGCTCTCTGATTGCCTCACACAATGACTGTTTTATTCAGAGGGGCCCACAAGAAAGAGATAACCACAGAAACACCCACTGGAATACACAGAGCTTTTTCCCAAGCATTGCAGTGCTTGGAGCTGTTTTTAAAGCACCAGGCCTAATGGTATGGCTCTAGATAATGAGATGTGCCTTCATTTAAAATACATGGAGTGCATCGAACATCATCACAGCTATGAGGACAATCAAAACCCCAAAAAGCTCAAAGAGCACATCACAATTGTTTTAAGCATCAACTGAGCTTTCCTTACACTGGTGAGGGAACCTCCCTGTGATGCTGGAGCTGTGGGATGAGCAGCACAGTCTGACTGGCAAGGACCATGACCTGGCTGTACCCAAGACTCCCAGAGAAGCAGTGACACTTCTTGAAGCAGCTTCCTGCCTTTACAGAATACCTCTTCTAGAGATTTTCATATCTCACTATAATCTGGCTGAATTTTAAACAGAAACTTAGGTGAAAAGGGGCTTCTCACTGTGTTTCACAATACCTGGCACTGGTTGTTCCAACAGTGAGCACAAACGCCCTAAGAAAAACACTAGTTCAGCCATAATTTCCTGTCTTTCTGTTTCTGCTTTTCGGGGTTATGCATACCATTACCCAGGGCTTAGCAGTGTTGTGAAAGACACTAACCAAGTGTAATGACTTGGGGAATTCAGCTCACTTTAGAGTTTCCAGAAATCTTTCTCCCCCAAGAAGATTTTCCAGCTATTTTATAGGCAGCAGAAGGAAAAACAGTTTGCCCAGACAGCAGCAGCGTGAGCTATCTTTGGATCCACACTGTCAAAAGCAGAAGGCATTTGCTGGGCAACTCTCAAAGTGTGCATACCACAAGATTTAATCAAGGAAACACAAGTTCATGTCCTATTTTGCAAGAGGTATATTCCCCAAAAGGGCTGGGCATGCCTCCAGAGAAAACTCATCACTGCTTCGGAGCAGAATTGAGATGGCAAATACTTTAAGGTTGGAAACACCCATGTGCTGCTCCTGCATTGCCTGGTGACCACTGACCTGCAGAGCTGGGACCACAAACTGTGCCTGGGCTTTTGCAAACTGTGGGGCACTGGCTCAGCATTGTGCTCCTGGCAGCAGCCCATGCAAAGTCCCTTGGTGGATCATTTAAAAACTCAAGAAGGCCATTCAGATTTGTGAAAACTTGTGACAAGTGCTTTTTCCCTTTGTTAGGCAGATAACTTTGATTTTGAAATGTCTTTTTAACCAGGAGACTAATTTGGGAAGCCCATTCTGTCCCACAAATGACAATAAGATTATACCAGCCCAACTAGAAAAACTCTCAACAACTAAGACAGAGAACAACAGGCAGGCC